CTTATCTTGACCCACAAGCTTTTCATTACACTTCTTTCTTCCCTGTCTAGTGAACAAGGGGAGTGATAGAGCAGCTCTGGTGGGCACCTGGCCCCCAGCCAGGGTCAACCCACCACACAGTGAAAGACTGCACAGCCAGGCAGGTGGCCACTACTGCAACACAGCCAAGACCAATGGACAGAGTACCAGAGAGGTAGAGTTCAGGCCTCCTGATACACCATTAACTTCACCAGTCTCCAAATTCCTCTCCACTGCCAATTGATACCTTGTACCTGCTATTCTGCCACTGGAAAAACTCTTCTTGCAGAGAAAGACAGAAGGGCAGCAATGTTATCAGTATCCCATAGCTGCCTCTGGACTGCCACCACACAAAGTACTGAGCTATTTCCAAACACAGAAAAAACTAAGTATCTAAGTCTGCTCAAAAGACACATGTTGGTATCATTCCATTTTTGATGCAGGTGAACAGACTGATAACTTCTTAATAGTGCCAAAGACCACTACTCCGCCACCACCTCCCCCCCACAGGATTTCAGTGTATCAGGCACTAGTTTTTACAACGGTGTGTATGCCTTCACACTAACGGCTGAAGCTACTGTCAAAGACCTTTTAGCGCACCACTTTGGTCCTATTAAGCCCCTTCCTCTATAAGGAGCAAATATATTTCTATACTGGATGGCAGCACCTCAAAGAAATATTCCTGTGCCTTAAGAAGTTAGGGAAAAAAAATAATCTACACCTACTATTTTAGAGCTATGGTGTTAAATACACCCTGAGGTACAGCAACAAATGGGCTTATAGGTTTCTGGGATAAATAAATATGCAGAAACTTCTGGAAATACAAGGCACAGTGACCTGCTCAGAGTTTGGAACACAGGTAACTTTTCTGTTACAGAAAAAGGCATCTGACTCATCATTCAAGTTGGACAGCAAGCAACCAGGTGGTAAGCTAGTGAAATTATGTGCATTCAGAGGAAAGCATGAAGAATATGGAATAACTCTGTCTTCAAGGGCATTGTTGTGGTTTAACCCTGCAGGCAGCCAGAACAGCCACACAGCTGTTTACTCACTTCCCCCCTCCCAGTTGGAGGGAAGAAAGAATTGAAAAAAAGGTAAAGCTTCTGGGTTGAGATAAAGTCATTTTAATAGGACAGAAAAGGAAGAGAATAATAATAAAAGAATACACAAAACAAGTGATGCACAGCAAAATTGGTCACCACTGGGACCCAATGCTCAGCTAGTTTCTGAGCCGCACCGCCTCCCAGTCAACCCCCAAGTTATATACTGAGCATGACATCATATGGTATGGACTATCCCTTTGGCCAGTTTGGGCCAGCTGTCCTGGCTGTGCCCCCCACCCCCAGCTTCTTGGGCATCCCCCAACTTCTCATTGGCAGGCCAGTGTGAGAAGCTGAAAAGTCCTTGACTGTTGGCAACAACTAAAAGCATCAGTGTGTTACCAACATCATTCTCATCCTAAATCCAAGAAATACAGCACTATACCTAGTGCTAGGAAGAAAATTAACTCCTATCCCTGTCAAAACCAGAACAGGCAGCATTTGAAAACAGCAAAATAATTATGTTCAAATACTTCAAAGTTTTCCTAAAGCAAGTAATTTCTTACAGCAGCTAGCAGTGTTTACTTGTTCAACCTTGCACTAAAGAGAGGTGAGGCTTGCAAGTCTCTGAAGAACAACTGTAGTGCTTTGCATATTAATCAAGGCAATTAGGCCTGTGATGACTACATGAGCATTGCCACATTTAGTATCTTTGTGGCAAAGTTTACAGTTGTGGTCAGTTAGTCAACTGTATCTAGTGAGGATATATCAAGCTATAGCCCTATTTCTGGTAGGTACTATACAATTTCCTGTTCTCTACTAGAAACACAATTACTTCTAATACTACCTCCTGAATCCCAAACCACAGCTTCTAGAAAAACATGTTTTAAAAAGGATACTCTCAAGAAAGGAGAGTACAGCATACTACTTAGCCTATGTTCAGTCCTACTTGCTAGAAAATACAGACATGCAAATACTCCTCATTCCTAAACCAGTCTCAGATTAGTGGGAGAGGACAGTAGCAGGAAGGATTATATGTTCCAAGACATTTATCCTTTCTGCTTTGAAACCTTGCATTACCTTAGGTCATTTGTGTTAACTTTTTTTTAGCAATTATTAGAATATTTTGTCATGACAACAGCTAACTAAAACTCCATAAAGCAGAAAAAGTAACCTTCCTGCATGTTTCAAACTGTCACTCATGTCACTGCAAATTGCAGATCTGGCCCTCCCTTTAAAATAGGAATCTGGAAATGTTTGAAAGAAAAATGCCCAAACACCATCAGCAGTAGACAGGTTGAGAAAAGACTACAAACCATGCTTTTATCTGTCTGTAAATCATTCAACACATTCTCAGTAGATGCCAGCAGGACTGTCCACATAACTGCATATCTTACTATGGATAAGAGGGACCAGTACCCAAACTGAAAACAGCTAAAAGAAGGAAAGAAATAAGTGTCCCTATATGGAGAAGTAAACAGTGACTTTTCACTATATCAGCTAAGAACTGGTTGGGCAGCAGCACAGGGAGTTTCTTCAGGCTCTAAAAGAAACCAGCAAACAAACGAGGCTTGCACATGCACATTCATGAAGTATCACCACAAACACAGATGCAACAGCTAAAAAGCCAACTGTTACCTAAGCAACCATTTCCAGCTTGACTATAAAAAGAAGAAAAAAAAAAAGCAGAGCACTGTTGAGCACAGCACTAACAGAAAAGACACTCAGAGCATACAGCACAGCAGCTACCATCAATTCTTTCCTGCCACCCACCCCCTGCCACCCTGCATTCACCATGGAACCACTTAATGGTTATTTCTGCAGAAAGCAAATTTGTGAGAAAGAACACCTGACTCCATCAGGTTTTCTTATTTAATGGAATCAGCCTGGAAAGCCTGAAAGCTTGCTAACCTCTTACGCCAAGGAGAAGAGTAAAATACAGAGATTAAAAACAATTAAAGGGAAGGGCTTCAGCTGCTTTACCTTTTCCTTCCTTTCCATAAGCAAGGGCTGGTGGAATAGTTAGCTTCCGCTTCTCTCCCACACACATGTCCTTCAAACCTTTGTCCCAGCCTTTGATAGCTTCCCTTATGCCAAGGGTAAACCACATAGGTTGACCATTGTTATGCTTGTGCCTGGAAAAGAACATGATAAAACAGTCTTTAGACAGTGAGTTCCATAAAAGGCACACAGAGCAGATGGAAGATGCTCACAGCCTAGATATAAAATTAAAAACCCAAAACACACCACTACACGGCACTTCGGTATTTCTTAAATGAAATACTTAAGTTTTAAAGACTTTAAAACTTATGCCTTGCATGACAAGCTTCCTGAAGAAGTGGAAAGAAACAAAACACCTATGTAGCATGTTTATGACAACACTGAGCAACTTGGATGCCCACCTATATTTCCCTGATCACCTATTTCCACTTTGAAACTGATCAGACTAGGAAAGCACTTCTATTTAAAAGTCTACATTCAAGGCCATGCATATTCTTTGGTAAATTGCAAATCAAAAACCAGCTTGGTCATGATTACAATATACCTTATAACATGCTCAGAAGAATCAGCCACTTCTCTTCCAAAACAGCCATTAGGGAAAAAACCAAACTAACTACACAACAGATAGCCTAGAAAACCCAGAAACAAATGCATGCAAAACATTCAAGTTTAAAACAGGCAGACAAGCTCCTTTTCCAATTTAACCAGGTGGTACACTAGGACTACTTTCACTCTACTGACAGACACAGAACTTTAAAAGCTCTACTAGTCATGCAGGAAAGGTACTTAACAAGAAAACAGAGCACTTACAGAAGTTAGTCAGCAGCAAAAACTCAAGAGTGTCACTAGAGCTCCTTTTAGAGAGGCAGGTTAACTACAAGAGAAAATTAGTGGGATTTTAGTTTAAATTGTTTGCAGGACCACGAACATGCAAAATATTCTTTTTTTAAAAAAAAAGTTCCATAAAAGTAAACTTCAGACATAGCCTACAGATACTTGAGGATTTCACTATCTCCCACTATTAACACTTCATTGATGTTTTACAGGAAAGGCAACATTAGCAGCTCGTTGTAGACTCTTAGCAGACTCCCTCGAATTTCTGGCTCTTCCTCCTACTTGCATTACAGTAGGTCTGGAATGTCGATTTGTCTGGTCGGGGGCAGGTGAAGAATATGCCGTTTCAGTAATGAAAAGGTGTCATTGTGCGAAGAGTACTGGAAGGCTATATATATATATATACACACACACACACACATAGAGAGAGTCAGACTTCTCTCCTAGAAGTTTGCTTTAGAAACCAGATAGAAATTCATGCATAGCATGAATAAGCAGAAGACTTATTAAACCACTGAGATCATATACCAAAACCTGTGTCTAAATTGCAAAAGAGGACACCACATGGCTCTACTTTCTACAGACTAACCAGAAAACAAAACCTAAATAAGAATTATTTTGTAGCCTCGATCTGGTAAATGGAAAGCAGATAAGCTTTACTGTTAGTCTTCACCTTGAACAGCATTGTGAGTCAATGCTTCCTAAACTGTCCAAGTGTAAAGGCAAACCAAACTTTCTGAAAATAGGTGGTGGTGGAAAGGGTCCCACAGACAAGTTTATGCAGCGTTATTTGAGCTATTCTAATTCAATAAAGAATAAAATCTAGGGCATGCTACTAAAATGCATCCATTGCTTTTGCTTCCCTGCACACAGGTGAACACAAGTTTTGGGAGGGAGAGGTAATTTAAAAAATAAAATAAAAAGCCACTTGCCCTCAACAAAACACTCCTCACAGATGAAGACCTATTTGTTTCACAGCAAAACGCTCCTCACAGATCTATTTCACAGATGAATTGCAGGCCACTGTGAGGGGTCCCGATTCAGGAAAGCACTGCCAGAAGAACTACTTACGTGGAGTGAAACATGGAGCCATCCCTCTCTAAGTAACCCTCATAGTGAACCAGCATCATGTCCCCCCACTTAGTCCTCCTGTGGCAGATGAACGGCTTCTGCAGCACCTCCACCTTCACGTCGGCCGCGGGGATCAGCGCCGCGGCCGCGCAGCCCA